TACGCGTCTCTGTGGACGCTCATTTATTACATATACAGGTTATACAATATGCATAATACACAACTTTCAGCTGTTAGGATGGAAAGAATTAAATTTTGATACAAGCTGAAATTTAACTTATCAACAACTAGTTGTTTAAGTAGTTAAAACCTGTGAGGTACCTAGGGATACCACCAAATTTTGGTGCTCACACAAGTAATTTGGTAGGAAACGGAAACCGGTTATGCGAACACGTTTCTCATTGCTCAGAAAAGAGTCTGGCATGAGTATAAATACAAAAAACAAATTTATAAATAACTATACAATAAACTACTAATTTACAAAGTGATTATTAAGCCAATGTTGCCATCTGCCCAGCATGGGATTTTACATATAAAACAAATCTCAATAATTGCAGGTAATCCAAAATAAATTTCCGCGGATGGCCACTGCATTCCCCAGATGTTACAAATTTACAGACCTATAGGAACAAATTAACATGAAATGGGTAGAGGAGGAAATTATACGCTGAGGTCAGTAAGTCTTCCCAAACCCCATTTGCAGATCCGTTGGTGCATATCCAACAATTGACAACATCTAATTGAAAGCATAAAGATCAAACACAAAAACATTTATAAACCAGCCATAGTTATAAAATTCATAGTCATAAGAATATTTGTGCATTTATTTATATATTTCATTATTTATTTATTTACTACTCATCTCCACTTTTATATGCATTTATTTAATTCTATATATAGACTTCATCCGTCTGCATGTGGTTTTTTTAACATAAATTTTTCCCCACAAATTATTATGAAACTTCTAATACCTGTTTGTATAAAAAAATGATTAGTTGTAAATATTAGGAAGCCATAGTGAAAAGTCACTTTCCCTACATTCTACATAAAATTATTGTATATATTGTATCGTACATACAATTAAAAATATATTCTATTATAATATGATATATTATGATGTGACACCATATGATTTTTTCAATGTTAAGGGATCAGGTTTATAGCCTTGAATGAAGTTCAACAATTTACTATTGCTCGTAGACAGAGGGACCTCGACGGAGACAAACTGTTTAATTTAAATTTCACCTAATCAACTTTATTCCAAAAGAACTAGTCCAATAACATTAAAAAAACCATAAATACGATCGAAAGTAAAAGGAGAGAGGAAAAAAACACCTTAAAACATGGCCCTCATGTTTTTTCCTTTGTTCGTCACAATACGAGATAAACTTACTTCATGTTTTCTTTATCTTTGTTTTTGTAGAATCTAATCAAAAAGCACATAATGTCCAAATGTTCCGTGAAATGGTTAGACATAGTTGTCTTTCTCAAAGATGTAACATATAATTCAGCAGCAGTGTAAGTAAACTTGAATAAATAAATGTATGTAAAAAAATTGTAATTCCAAAGTTTAATGTATCGAAGTTTGATCAATACAGGCCCTGATGATGTGACTATGTGTCGCGAAAGCTCGGCGAATTGTTTGCATAAGTTTGTAACTTCATTCAAGACCATAAACCTGATCCTCTTCAAAATTGAAAAAAACTGGTCGATCCTCTCCATAACATTCATTATGATCAATTAAAAGCTTTTTAATGTTGTAACTAATTGCTAGTTGTCCCAAAGTTGGACAAGCTTATAAAAATGGTGTAACTAGTGAAATAAAAAATCATAACTTTGAAGATGGCGAAATTTCTGAAACCCGTCTGACACATCAACTCAATGAAGATGGATAGAACAAAACGATCGTTAGCGCCTAAATTTCACGTTTATCAGCCTGCAAACCTCCTAGAGTAATCTCAGAAAAAATTAGAGCTTACCGACCGATGACAGAGATTACCCAAACATTAATCATCTTTAGGACACAAAAATCCCATAACTTTCATTTCTGCTGATTTTAAAAAAAATTGAATCTGGCTACTATTTTCGGAGTTTGATCGTTATAATCACTACATCTTCTAGTTGTATTTTATATTAGTTTCAATTAGCATAATAGTTTGTTTAATGCATATATATATAATTTAGTAATTGGTTTAATTTAAATTAAACTTAAACGACAATGGCAAACTGTTTTTTTTAACTATTTATATTGTTTATAGTATTTATGGTATTAACTTCTAGAGCTTTTCATGGCTTGAGGACATTTTCACAAAACCTGAGAAACATTTAAATATACAAGAAATAATAGTATTTTATGTACTTCGTAAAAACTGTCAGGAAATTAAGGTTTGGGAAAAAAATTGATTATACAAACCTTTGATAAACTTTAAATCAATCGACTTTTTTAAATGTCGTTAGAAGATGCGAAACTCAAAATACGGTTTCTTGCTTGGGCGGAAATATATTTTTGTATCTTTAATCACTTTTTCCTTTTTTTTTGTCAATCAAACTACCTAGACTGTCATTTCCAAGTGGATTAAAGGGCATTATAGAGTTTTGGATCACCAACTGTAAAAGAGTTCTGAGCTTATTGCATTTACTAGTTTGATGCAGGAATGTTTCTTAGGACAAACTTGCTTTTCGATTCAGTGAAAATTGCTGTAATAATCCCGAAACCTAACGAACCAGTCCAACTTTTTAGTTCTTACCGTCTCATCAGACTCCATTCCGTTGTAGCAAAAATGCTTGAAATACTCCTCGTTGAAAATTGATACTTATTTTTCAGGACGCGAAAACCTTACCGTCTCATCAGTTAGCGTTCCGCTCACTTCACTCCACTATACAATAGATGCATTGTGTGGTAGACACTATTGCCGTTTCTCTTGAGCGAAAACAATACTGCTCGGGTGTTTTTCCTGGACCTAGCCCATGCTTTCGGCCGGGTATGGCACCCGGTTTTACTGTAGAAACTCAAGATTAATACCAGTTTTATTTTTACTTTTAGCTTATTCTCCCATCCTGCATGACAAACTGACATAGCCGGGTCTGTCAGGGAACATCCCTTTCCTTTTATACTATGGTAAAATCTGGAGTCCCTCAAGGAAGAATTCTTGCCTTTGTCCTCTTTACATTTTGCACTGTAGACATTCATATTTTCCCAAACACAATCATCTCCATATATGCCAGCGACACGGCTATCTTCTCTTGTCACTCCAACCCATCCGTTGTAAGCTCCTACGTGCAAAGTCATCATACCCTATTTAAAAGACCGCTACCACAAATGAAGAATCAAAGTGAACAAAAACAAACGTGCTCAGAAGACTGACATGGAACCCACACACTCACCAGAAACGATTAGACACGAACCGTTTGCAAAACTTCATTCGTCTGTTATGACCTACGGAATGGTTGTTTTGAGGTCAACCAAACATTCCAATTCATCCCGTATCCAGTCTGTCCAATCCAAAATCCTTAATGTACCTTTCTACGTCTCCAATAATATCATTCACACTGACCTCCATATTTCATTCGGTCACGTCCTCGTAAGAACTCGTATCAGAAATTCCACAATACCCTTTCTGTATTCCCAAACCCCTCGTCTAACAACTTTTCACTATAACCTAACCAGGAAATCCTCCACGAATTTCGAGCCCTTTAGCTCATAGTCTAGCGGGGTATCAGCGGGTTCACTTTTGCAATTCATGTCGAGAGACGTGTTTGTAGAAACCCATCAATCTGACGATGAGCTAAAGGACTCGAAATCCGGATTGTTGCGAAACAGTTTAATGTAGTAGGAACCATCTTTTTTAAAAAAGGATTGAACTCCATACTCACTCCATCATTCATAATTTCTACCCTCCAGGTAGGCTGAAAAGGCAATGGCCTAGAGATGTGCTTCAGTGTTGTGTGTGTGTAAGTAGGTGGCTTCTCCCATAATGTTTAATTATCAAGTACTGGAATGTAGAATATGAATTATGAAATTAACTTATTGTAACGAAAGTTTGAGATGTACATAACAATAATAATAATTTCAATTTTTTATAAGTATCACCAAATAAAAGTGTATAGTACTAAATCCATTATATTTCGTGGTCCGATTTACAAAATAACTTCTTTCAATTAATTAATCTTTATATAAGGTATTGGTTGAGATAAAAATGTCAGTGTCACGAGCGGGATTCGAACCCACGACCTTCACGGCTAAATACGCCGCTGCTCTACCACTTGAGCCTCCGTGACTTCGATCCACTCGGACACCAATTTCCGTTCTCAACCTACCTTTCGAATTTTCCCTCCTTTTTGCCATTTTTCAAATGTTGGGCAATCAGGATTCGATTCTCGGCCACAAATGAAATGGCCACAGAGAACTTTAGTGAAGATATACTTCGTTTTACTTATTAAATCCATTATATATATAATGTATATTATTTCAACCAATAACTTACATAAAGATTAATTAATTGAAAGTGCCTTTATATTATCTTCTCCTTTGTCTTTTTGTTAGGTCTTAATTATACTTCTAAAACTACAAAAGAAGAAATGACTAGACTAAATGTAAATCGTTTTTAATGGTCGTCTCATTCCGCCAACTAAATTCTATAGAAAACTCCTGGGTGTTTTGTTATTTTTGTCTCAAGAAGTTTTCCATTCTGTAGAAACTAAACAAATAAGAATTTATAGTAGATGATGGGGTTGGTCTGCGAGTTGGCGAACTCATGTTGAACCGGCACACGGGCACTACTGGGTCTGTCTTCACTCAAACAAAAACCCGCGAGTGAAGACAGACCCAGTAGTGCCAGTGTGCCGGTTCAACATAAATAAGAATTTATTTTAAAAAAAACGCAACTTTTTTTGTATTGCGAAAGTAAAGTTTTTGATCTTCGTTTTTTATACTTAAATTAATAAAGAATACTATCAACCAGACCAGCCTTGCATGGATGCGTTCCAATTTACGTATTTGTAGCCAAAATAATAAGACAATAGCAAAAAATAAATATATTTCTTTCATTTCTTTTCTACAATATCAACACTATATTAATAAATACAGAAAAATAAATATCAATAGACCTAATAATTATATAAATGTTTAAATAAATAAATAGTTGTCTCAATAGATATAATTGTTGTTTAGTTGTCCAACGAGGAAAACCGTAACGAAAGAGTTTTTCACTTCCTCATTGTCATTTTCCGTCTTTCACCAGGGCTGATCGAGTTGTACAGTTCTGTAAATCGCCCCAGGCCAATTATATGCCTCGTGCCTGGAATCATTTCAGCGATTTAACCAGGTAACAGACTGCGAACGAGGGTAACCTCAGCCTTTGCTTCTTCAGCCTGGTCTTCAGGAAACACGGAACGCCCCTATGACATCATATTATTGTATGTTACACTGACGAGTTTCCTTTTACTTTCCATATTTTTCGTTCTGTTTCTAAATGACCGTCTGTTCCGCGGGTTGCACAATGATACGGACAAAGCGGAAGGAAAGGAAAACGAGACTCATATAAAACGCCTATTAAATATTACAATATTTATTTGTGTGTTTATTTTAGAGTAAATGAAAAAAAACATGAAGTCTTTTTAAAGAATTACCCTATAAAAATATTTTATATTTGCAACGAAACAAAAATGTTTCAGAAACACCGAAAACTTGATCTAATTCGAGTTTGTTAGTAGCTTTCTAATAGACCATTTTAATCACAAGTAATCTTAGAAAAAGTCATTGTTATTATTTTGGAAATTCCTATTATTATATTATTATTTGTAAATTTACAATGTTAGGTACAACATATGCATATGTATACCTAAATACTTTGTACCTAACATTTTATATATATATATATATATATAATGTTAGGTACAAAGTATTTAGGTGTGTATATATATATATATATATATATATATATATATATATTATACTACTTAGTATTACTACATTTTTGTAAAGTTTCAATGTAAAAACCGCATATCTTTTTTAAAATCTTTTTATTATTTACTATATTAATTTATATCATAACGATGGACAAGAAGCCACAATCACGTGACAATATTTTTTATTAATAAATCTCAAAATTCCAAGCGCTTTACCGGGATTCGAACCCAGAACCGCAAAAATATTAAAATTCGGACGCCTAACCCATTGGCCATTGGGTCCCTATAAATACAGAATTATTTCTTAAGTAAAAATAAACAATGTAGTCATTAATGGTAATCCCACTGGAATTTGGTAGACCAAATTGATCTGTAACGAATGGTAATATTCATCACTACTCAGACCAGACAGCGAAATATCACAATAAAAATATGCGTTGGATATACTAAAATGCTTGCGTTTTTTAATTTGTTTTGATGATTTTTGGGACAGCAACACTACAGTTAAGAACATAAATTTATTCATAAGTTACAAATTTTCTGATCATCCTATTTTTATACTTCTTCTCTCTATGTCATGTTTTCTCTTTCACTTTCACGCACATAACACCATTCGCATATAAAACTTTGCATATATGTTTGAATAATTGAAAATATACTGATTATCATTACTTAACGCATGTTCAAACGATAATAGAGAGTAATTTTGACACAAAAAACATAAACAAGAACTTTGCTTCTAACAATTAAAACACAAGTTTTAAATTGATTAGATTTTAGTTTTCTAAAAATTGAAACGAAGGATAGATTACATTAAACGAAATCATTTAAAGTGGACATATTAAGATGACAAGTAGACATATTAATATCTAATCAAGAAAATATTTTTAATTTTTTCAGATACAATAGATTAATATAAAATAGTAATCTATGGTGGATAGATTCGTGGGAATTAATAAACTTTCTCACCAATAATTCTCGTTTAGGTTTTCCGTATTGACTCAATTTTTTGGTTGAAAATTTCTCGTTATTTTTGTACTTAAAAATCCAATCATAATCGAATCAAATGGTAAAAATTAAAACATCTCTGACGAACTTACATAATTCTAGCACAATTTGTTTAATTGAACACATACACATAAACATACACACCAAATAGCATTGAATATGGTTTGATTCCGTTACCATCACAAAAACATGAGTATATACATTGATACTTAGATTTATTTTAAATTTTTTTAATCCATTCCTTACAATCATCTTCATTTGTACTTGAGCCAATAATTTTCACTTAGATTCATATTTGGCTTTCGACTCAATGAATCATACAGGGTTGTTCGTCAGGGATGAAAAACGAAAATAATTGGATGACAGAAGAATAAATGGCATAGAATAGATCAGAAATAGGGGTTGTATAGTACTCCGCCTAGGAGATAGGTTTTTAAATTTTGGCAAAAAACAAAACTGATCACACACAAAAAGAAATTGTCCGTTACTTATGTACTTATGTATTTTTCTGAAACATGCTTGGTTTTTCTATGTCATAGAACTATGACCCTGCACATCTTTTAAATGTTTTATACATATATATCAATTAATTAATGTTTTTAGTTTAGATAAAAAAGGCAGTGTCACGAGCGGGATTCGAACGCACGACTTTCGGCTAGATACGCCGCTACTCTACCATTTGAGTTATCGCGACTTCCATCCACTCGGTCACTCAATCCCACCTTTTGAATTTTCCTCCTTTTATTCGAGTACCTAGCCGAAGGTCGTGGGTTCGAATCCCGCTCGTGACACTGCCTTTTTTATCTCAACTAAAAACCTTAATTAATTGAAAGATATTAATTGGCCGAGAGGGCCACTAACCGGAAAACTAGTGAATATATATACATTAATTTCTCGGTAATTTGTATTACTTTTAATTCATAAAACAAATTTAAAATAATTAAAGATTGAAACAGTATATTTTAGATACTTTAAAAAAAATTTTTGTGTAATAAATTAAAAAACAAAGTGTTTTGAATACCAGGCAAATTATTTTCTAAGTGAATAGCTCTAAACTACAAGTTTATAATATGACGTGCAGGAAACAGGGAAGTGGGATGCAGTTTTCAAAGGCAGAAATAACACTACAGGTTTATTTAAAAAACAAAAACAAAACAGCAACATGCGCTCGGCTTAAAAGTGAACAATTAAAAGCCAAAACATATCAGTCGGATTTATGTTAACAAGTGATACTTTTGTTAATGTTAAAATCAGTCTACATATATTTTAAAATGTACCGTTTGACGAAATTAGAAGCATATCGAAATGCGTTGGCCGTGTTGAATCCCCCGCTGCTTACTTGGCGGTTTTGGCCGTAAAACGGATATTGTCCGAAGCCTTGGCCGAACTGGTCGAAATTGCCAAAAGACAGGGGATGATAGCCAGGGTATCCTCCAAATCCGTAACCGTAAGTATTAAAATAGTCAAAATCCGTAGTCGGCAACCCATAGTAGTAGTTGGGGAACTGATCGTAGAAATACGGCGATTGGAACTCCTCAGGCAATGAATTGAAATTCGATTCTTGCTTTCCTAAAACATTATATTTAACAAAAAGACCAATTTATTATACAAAACTAATAATTAAATATATAGTTTATTTCGTATATTAAATCCTTGTTTTCCTTAATGATATACAATGCAAAATTACTAGTTTTTATAAGTTCAATATTTCACACTAAACCTTAAATACAACAAAAAAAATTAAGCTGTACTCTGCAATATTAAATAGACAAATGTACGAAGCAAAAAATGTGTCATTTTCAAGCTCAATTAAGTTTGGATTCGACGTTTATTCCAATAATCAAAATTAAATGTATAGTTTATTTCGTGTTTTAAATTCTTGTTTTGCTTGATGATATACTATGCAAAATTACTAATTTTTTTAAGTTCAACATTTTCACACTAAATCTTAAATACAACAAAAAAAATTAAGCTGTACTCTGCCATATTAAATAGAGAAATGTACGAAGCAAAAAATGTGTCATTTTGAAGCTCAATTAAGTTTGGATTCGACGTTTATTCCAATAATCAAAAGAACGATGTAAAAGGCTGTTAGAGAGTTATTTTCCAATGTTCAAGTAAAATAACATAGAGTTAATACAGTTTTTTTAAATATCAAACTGACAAGTTATTTTGGATTTGTGATTTAACTGACTAAAAACGCCAGTACGTATTATATTTGTTTCGTCAAAATCGTATAATAAATATTAATTTTCATGCGGACGATAATTAATGTAATATTACACTGAAATTGTACAAACAGTGAAAATGGTCATTGCTATTTCGAAAAAAACGTCATAAGGGAAAAGTTAGTTGGGCATGAGGAAGTAAAACCCGTCGACCCATAAAGCAATTAAATGCTTTCACGTCTATTTTGCTTCGTTTTCATAATACTTTTTAAAAAAGAAATTTTTAAACCAGCTTTGAGCTTACCCAGTGCGTGAAACGTGCCGGCCACCCATCCAAAAAGTCCCATGTGCGCCATAAATATACTTATCTAAAAACACAGACAAACTTTCAATAAGATAATCTATTTGAAAACGTTGAACTGAACAAAACAACCACATTTAAAACATGATTCTGAAATGTAGTCTTTTTAGTTTGGTTTTCTGAAAAAATAAAATGGCAAATTTTCTTCATAAGCCCAAACTAAGTAATGGAACAATTTTATTAGTGATATTTTATTAATTATGAATGTCTATGAGAAAGAGAGAGAGAGAGAGGAGAGAGAGAGCGTGAGAGAGAGGGAGAGAGAGAGAGAGTGATATATTGGATGAGAGAGAACAGAGTGACTGAGATAGTGAGGGAGAAAGTGTGTGTGTGTGTGTGTGTGTGTGTGTGTGTGTGTGTGTGTGTGTGTGTGNACAGAAAGAGAGAGAGAGAGGGAGAGAGAGTGAGAGAGAGAGCTTGAGTGAGAGTGAGGGGGAGAGAGGGACAGACAGAAAGAGAGAGAGAGAGAGAGAGAGAGAGAGAGAGAGAGTGTGAGAGAGAGAGAGCTTGAATGAGAGTGAGGGGGAGAGAGGGACAGACAGAAAGAGAGAGAGAGAGAGAGAGTGAGAGGGAGAGAGAGAGAGAGAAAGAGTGAGATAGAGGACAGAGTAAGTGAGACAGTGAGAGAGATAGAGAATGTGTGCGTGTATGTATGTGTGAGTGTGTGAGAGAGAGTATATTACCTAGTTGTTATTATTATGTGTACATACGCAGAAATAATTTAGAAAAAAATAATTACTGTATACTTAGTGAAACATATACTTTAAGATTTGAAAAAAGTTTGGGCAATATAATTTAAATATCCTAGCAATAAAGTGTTATAAATATTAACGTCATCTGTAATAGCTCTTTACTAACAAAAATTAAATTATTTTTATTTTATTTTTATTTTAGAACCTGAAAGCACATAACCTGCGTTGGTTGGGATGAATTTGCAAGATTAGAATTCAATTATTCTACTAACCTTGTGGGACATGTCGAGAAGAGTTATGCCCTCCGTTTTTTAAAGACGGGGATATATATACAGCTGGCCCTCCTGTCCAATGTTGCCCCCACTTACTATTTCGACTTTCAGAAGTACTTTTGCAAAAAAAAAATTTTTATTTCATTATCTATGTCAGTAAATAAAGGAGGACCATTAGAAGATTGGAACACATTCATATAATTTAAAAAAAATATATAATAAAGTTTTATAAAGATGTTGTTGAGTGGGGCACCGTTCTTGCTGTGGAACTCCATAATATTTTTTTTTTATAAATAAATATAAGGCTTAATTTATTTATAAAAAACATCAACAAAGTTTTATAAAATAAAATTAATGTGAATATTTGTTTTTTTATTCTGATAAGAGTTTGTTTCAATAAATTAATAAATTCTGTTTGGATCAGTATGAGGATACAGCTGTATATATCTTTTGGAAAGGCCTGTAGGTTCACAAAACATTGAAAAATAGATAACGTCTTTGGTAAATAAAATTTGGAGTACATACACTTATGTACGTATTTTATACGTTTGGATGATTTTGTACTTTTTTACCTTTCAGCCTTGAATGAAGATGAGCCATCTTACTTTTATATCTATATCATATAGGCATCAGGTACCATGCTTTTGAATTACATTTTTAATTTGTTGTTAGTTCAGGTACAATGACTATGGATTTAATGTTCGTTATATTACTACCTAGGGGGTTCGTTTTGGGGGAATTTTTCAATTTACTGGTGAATGAATGAAGCTAGGAAAACATTTAAAAAAGCCATCTAATTCAGCGTAAAATTTTCGAAAAAATGAATATAAGCGCAGTCGTAACTAAAAATGCTGAGAAAATATGCATTTCCAAATTAGGCCATTTTTTCGTGGAAAAACCAGGTGGTTGGTCCTTTTTCAGGGGCAGTGCAATTTCGTCAGGTAATTGTTTAAGAATGTCCATTTTTTTAAATTATTCCATAACTACAGAGGTAATATTATAATGGATATTAGTGTATCTCTAGAATTCCTGACAACGAGAAATTGTATTATCGGGTAGTCCGGAAAATAATGCAGGATTTTAAGTTTTCATTAAAAAAAATCTATATAAAATATTCTGTTTACGTTTACAGGATTACTCATTTGTATTAATGTCAACACTTATTAATCCTCTTCCAAATGATATTGTTTGTTTACCTCTGTAGCATTCCGCTACTTGGAAATAATTCAGTCATCCTTATAATGTCAAAGCGANGGGAAATTATTTTGATTAAAGAACATTGCTTTAAAGTAACTAGTTTCTTTTTTTTTGTTTAATACCAAAATCCTGCATTATTTTCCGGACAACCCAATAGCAATGACTAATTAGTATTTTCACATCAATAGGCAATTATTGAGGTCAAACCGTATGAATTACAAAACCAGACTAACCATAATTTGGCGTCAAATCGAACAGAAGGTGAAACGGAAGCCATTTGTAATTAAACTATTCGGGTCAAAGTTTGTCGCCCTGAATGCCAATGAGGAGCATAATGGGCCAATCAGAATATCTTGAAGGGCCGTGTTCCTTTAAGGTACAAGACCTTTCGTCCTTTAAGGCAAAGGGTAGATTAAGGTGAACACATTGTATCCCGACTGGGATATGCAAATCTTGCAAAGTAGTAATGCCTAAACGTTTCCCGATAATGTGAATGTTCTGTATCTCGGAATGGTTTTTCTATCTTCAGTGATAGGCTTGCTTGTTTACCGTCGTGTATGTCTTTAAGTAATTTATTACATTTTGGAAAAATTATTTAAATTATTGTTTAAAGCAAAAACTGTTAAACAACTTAAAAATTAAATAGAGCATTTAACATTTTTTGAAATCACTTAATCAAATAAAAAATATTACAATTACTCAAACATGCGTTCCCAAATACTCGGTCGTCCTTAAAAGGGTAATGAGGATCTCAAAAGTCCTACCTTGTTCATGGCCTTACCGGACGTTTTGATTCTCAAGATGACGCACCTCCGCTCACGAATGTGTGTTACAGCCGCAAGCGTTGGTGTAAAAGCTGTCCCAGCCTGGAGGGGCCAAGACGAACCTCACTCCCCGCTTGCCCATTCCGATTGGTCGGGTCTGCATTGAGCATCAGACCGTATGCCGCGAGTAAAAGTCTACCCAAGGTGGCTGAAATGCATCAGCCCGGTCTCCCACGCACTCCCTAGATAGAGAAGGCGACTCTATCTCCCAGCGTATTGAGGCTCCTCCAGCGTAAGTACTCCCGGTTCCGCTCCGGCGGCGGTTTTGTTTAAAGTGGAATTGCTAACCACCCCCTAGAGGAGACTGACTTCAGTTATGACAAACCATTTCATAAAGGCCGCCAAAGCGACATAAACAATCGATAAGGCAGAGTTCCAACGATTGAGGAGGCAGACGAGAGGACGGCGGCAGGCCTAAAGGTGGCCATTCACGATCGCTCCAAGCAGGCTAAACGGAGCGACGCCGTTCCAAAAACCACGTCAATGGCAAAACTGAACTGGCGTGCCCGGCTGTGCCGAATATTCGACCGGTCCAAACTCCATCGCGCCACTCCAAATATCTACGGCGCGACGACGGCATGGCGCGTTCGTGAATGGGAAAATCTGGCTACTACGAGTACTACCATGTAGCAGATGGCTGGGTTTTGGAACATTTCTGCTACCTCGTAGTACAGATGGTTATGCACCCTCCCCCGGCTATGCAGACAGGATCACAGGCCGACACGAATCCAGCTTATTCTTTAGAGATTTTGCCACGCCTTCAAGTTCTACACCATTATTTTTGCCTAGATACCCCTCTTGCATCCAAGGGTTGGGATAAGTCTCCAGGAAAAATGCTGAATGATCTGGATTGAGAAAGGGAAGTGATCGAAGACACGAGGCTCGCTTTGTCAGGCTTCACCCTCCGCCTTGTCCACACTGTACCATCCATGGTCTCCGTAGTTCCACATTAAGTGGGCAATGACTCTCCTGGGTGGATGAAGGAGATGAGATTGCCGTTCAAGAGCCGAACGAGTCGACACCATCCCGACCAGTCATCTCGAGGGACGAATCCGAGACAATGTGACCGCCCGGCACACATTTCGGATTAAAGCTGTTCATTCTCAGGTATCCATTCTCCACATTGACGCATTCAGGGGGAGGGAGCTGGTCAGGCTCTCCCCACTGAGTGACCGGTGTCCCCGGAGATTCGCAGGCTCGCACCCTCGGGTTGCGCCCGATCCTCCCCAGATATCATCCCGCCCCAAATGGTATTTGCTACTGTTGGTCGGGCAATGGCCGGCTCGGGAGCTTCGCAAGCCATGCTTTTCAGATCACACCCGCTCCACCCCTAAGCCCAGCCGGCCCTGTCAGTATTTGCTACTTCACTGAATGAACAGTCGGGATCCTCTTTTTGTTCAGCCTCCAAAGAGACCCTAACATTGCCGTCGCGAGAGGTCGCGGGAACGGGATAGGTTGTTTGTTGCACTTCACCGTTCCCTATCCCCCCCCCGTACGTATTCGAGGGACAATGAGGATCTTTAGCGTCATACCTGGCTCAAGGCCTTACCGGATGTTTTGATTCTCAAGATGCGAGATGACCCACCTCCGCTCACGACTGAATGTGTGTTACAGTCGGAAGCGTTGGTGTAGAAGCTGTCCTAGCCCCGAGGGCCCAACACTTCGGTGGTCCGATCCTTCCTATCCCGCTAGTAGGGGGTCACAACGAAGGTCATACGCACAGGCGTAGGTGGATGGCCATCAAATTACTCAGACAATGTAATAATCTTCGTCATTCTTTTCTGTAGTAAATTTTTTTTTATTTTAACATCTGTATTGTTTTATTTCTGATTGTGTTAGGCCAGCTCTGTAGTAATTGTATTTTTTGCGTCATTGTGTGTTGGTAGTATGTTGTTTACATCTAATAGAACTATAACAAGATAAGATAAATACATACTACATACTAAATACTACATTTACCATTCAAGAAAAAACGAATATTTATTACATAGACTAGAATGTTATATTTATTAATTACATATAATTAACATTTTTTTCAATTATTTTTAACCATAAATCAATACCGACTGATCGTTGAAGGATTATTGGAAAAACGCCAAGGAAAAACCCACACCAATTTGAAATCGCCACCATGACAAAAGTGTTTAACACTTACCTGCCATCGCTAAAATATACTTCGTCTTCACAAGCGAATTCTTCCTCAACTCAGTTGTTCAAAAGAGCATTCGCAAGTTAAGAGAGGAAATATTAAATTATCCCGCGTTTACGTATAGAAATGATTGGTTTTAATAAATGTAAATAACTTTAAATAAATAAACTATTTATTAATATTTACAATTGGTATAAAATCACCATTTACCGGGATGTTCTTCAACTATCGATTTCATGTTGAAGTTTATGTAGCTGGTATCGTGACCGAAGTGTTTACCGTCTTCTCCGCCTTTTTTGTCTTCGACGACATTTTTGAATGCGGCAACTTCTTCGGCTTGTTCAGCTTTGTTGGCAACACTGCTTTCTTTGCCTTCACTGCCACCGAAGAATCTACAAGAAATTGTTGGTTTAAGTTAAATTAACAATATAGAATATTTTACCTTACATTTTCCATTTCGATTGCCTGCAGAAATGTTAATGCTAATTATCCCATAGCTTGTCCTCTTTATATATATTGTTATATTCCCCCCACCAATATAATGAAAGTCGTTCATAATTAGAAAAACATTTTTTCTTCGTTTTTAAAATATTATTATCAAAAATTCTGATTTGAGTTTTATAACTTATTTTCCCTTCTAAACATGAACTTCAAAATGCTTAAATTACGATAAAATAAGTAAAACGATTAGAAAATTAAGGTACAAGTGAAAAGCATTTTTTATTTGTTTTCATTTAATTAAACTGTTAACTTTTATCGAATCAAGTTGTCTAGCTTTATTATTTTCTCTATGACCATCTTGGATTCTCCTAAGCTTACACGAGATGTAATTAAATGAACTATAGCACAATTACATACCTAACTGTTTTTTAAAAATAAGAAAGTGAATCAAAGATTGGAGTCTGAAACGAAAATAAACTTGACTAAAAAATCACCTAACTAATTACATCCATTACAATGAACTGAATGTTGGTTTGAATATCATTCCATTACTTCCTGACCAGAAACGTTCCTACTACTGCAGTAAAGCAGAAGTTATATGCAATTTCTTTATCCTACTCGATAGATAATCGATATAAATTGTTTTGTAAACCGTAGCAGGTGGACAGGTTGAGAATTTAACTGAACATTTTTTATTTTAGAGTTGGCAAATAAAAAAAATATATGATGGTGATATGTAAAGTTGTACAATAATTTTGGGCTTACACATAGGAATTTTAATAATTATTTTTTATTTTTGATAAATTCCAGCAAGAAAGAGTTTTACTGTGATATATTAACTGAATTTATCCTACTTAACGCATGACTTCATTTACTTCCTCAAAAATGTTACAGCAAAGATGAAATTCTTTTTAATTGGAGGGGAAGTTTGCTAATATAAATAGAATAGAAGCCGTGGGATAATCAACATTCTCTTTTCTGAAATCAATCGAGATGGAAAAGGTGAGTAAAACATTTCAAAAATGTTATATAATTTTACTTTTAACATCAATTTCTCGTAGATTCTTTTCGTCACTTTGTGCGTCGTGGCTATCGTTTCTGGACACGGAGAGAGCGAAATAAAAGTTTGTAAGTACTTTATTTTCAAGTTTTACACATTAAAAAGGGGAAAAGAAGATTAATTAACTGTAATTTAAAGCAAGGAAACATCAAGCGGAATATAAATTCGGCATCGACCATCATTTCCACGGGCACTGGAAAGGTGACTCTCATCCTCACGGTTTCGCCGGTTTGGGCGACGGCCACGGAGACTACAAAGGTGCCGATGTGAAATTCGTCCACTTCCTTCCTCAGAGCCTCTACGGAGGACATGGGGGACAAGAAGGAAAAGAAAGTGAATTAGAAAAGGTAAAAGAAGTAGAAGGAGGTAGTGGTGGCAATGAAGGCAAAGAAGGCGGAGAAGAAAAGGCAAAAGAAGTACAAGGAGGCAGCGGTGGCAGCGAAGGCAAAGAAGGCGGCGAAGAAAAAGTCAAACACTTCGGTCATGGCACCAGCTACATCAACTTCAACATGAAATCGATTGTTGAAAAACATCACGGTAAGTTTTGATTTAAAAACTAAAATCTTAAAAGTCATTTTGACTTTCATTTCATGAATTCGTTTTCAATTGGCAAAGGTGGACAAGAAGGGAAAGAAGTCCAAGAAGAGAAGAAAGAAATTGTAAAAGAAGAACAAGGAGGTAGCGGGGGCAGTGAAGGCGGCGAAAAAAAAGAAGGCAGCGAAAAAAAAGAAGGCGGCGAAGAAAAAGAAGGCGGCAAACACTTTGGTCACGGTACCAGCCACATTAACTTCAACATGAAATCAATTGTTGAAGAACATCACGGTAAATGGTGATCTTACATCAAATTAACTGTCAATAAATAATTTATTTATTAAATGTTAATTGAATTAATTAATTCCTAAAATGTGAACACGTTATCCATAAAAGGTGAAAGTGTGCATTTATGTAAATTTTTACTTGCCATCCTCACACAAGCAAAGCAGCAAACACTTTTGTCATGACACCAAATACATTAAAGAGATAGGATCAACTGTTGAAAAACATTATGGAAAATGAGTTTTTAAAAAACACTTTCTTTCCTTAGTGGTTAAATATTTTAATGCTTATTGAAGAAATGATCTCATTATGAATCTTATCCATCAAAGTTATCAATTTCTATCGGTTCTTTTGTGTGTTATGAATGTTAAAATTCGGGACTGCGCCTAATGCAAAAATACAAATCATTTTTTAAATAGTTAATTGGTAAATTTTTATTATTCCGTAAATCTAGAATGTTTAAACAATAACAAAAAACAAAATAAAATGAAACGAACTATTTATTAACAACAACAAAGGATGATGGAGAAATATCGAGCACTCCACCTTTCTTGAGTGAATAGGGAAGAAATGAAAAAAAAAAAAAAAAGGAAAAATGTATTTAAAAATATATATTGGAGCTGAAATGACCTAGTTGGTGACCCCCCTCCTCGAGCCTAACTTTATCTTTGGTACGATAAGATCCAACACTGATCCTCGACTGCCTAATCCAGCGGTTGGGCATTGTCCCTGTATACGTGTGCTGATTGTGAACTAGGTTTTCAAAATATCCCCTCCATTTGCGTTGAGCAAAAAGCTTCCTTACCGTTCTTCTTATTGTTATGGTTTTGTAAATAATATAACCCCTTATTTGTTCACCTGGTTTGAACCCAAATATTATGCAAATAATTAGCAGTTAGCAGGCGGCTTGTAATCCGTCTAATATGATAGGCGCACACTCTTCGTAATAGGACGATACTCTAAAAATGTATTAACGTTTTGATAATAAATTATTATATCTAAATTAAACTTATTGAAGATCCAGCACTTGATTATACGGCAAATATTGTGTTGAAATAGTTATACGAACGATTAACTTTACCAAAAAAAACAAAAATGGTCTTGTACAAACCCCCAAGTTAATTTTTGCTATAAATCGCGTGGTGTTAACAGATTTGACATAACTTTCTTATCAAGCTGGGAAATAATACTAACTTTGTTATTTAAATGAGAATCCTATATTTCATTGTACAGTTCGATTGTTGAGCTTATTTTATGACACTTTTACTGAAAGGAAAATTTTGATAGGATCGACCATTTCTGTATTATGCACTATGGAAGACGCGTGAGAGGGTTTGCTTTTTGTAACAACAGAAAAGCTTTCCCCGTTTATTTCTTAAACGATTAGCATTAGCGAGTTAATTTAGGATGGGAATTGTCTGAGAAAAGAGTAGGGATCATGGGTTTGCTTTTAGGCTTAGCTTATATTACTTTTTTGAAAAAAGAACTCTTTTTACAAAAACGGATTTTTTTGATCATCATCGAGTCCATTTTGTTATTAAAATAGCTCCCAGCTGTTGTTATATATTGTTGCAGATTTGATCATTTATTATAATTTATGTTTGTAATAAATGTTCAAATACTCTCCCATTCCCTGGTTCAAAAAACGCACGGAATAAAACCCCTGAATTTTAAATCTAAAATGAGAAGTACAATCTTGTTGTTCCAAAAAGCATACGCCCAAAAAAGCACTCGTCTTCCATCGGGCATAACTCAAGAATGGTCGATCCTATCAAAATTGTTCTTTCAGTAAAAGTGGCATAAAATAATCTCTAGAATCGAATTATAGTATAAAAATATGGGATTGTGCTTTAAAATAACAAAGTTAGCGACATTTCTCAGCTAGATGCGAAAATTATGTTAAAACAGTTACCACCATGCGATTCCTAGCCAAAATTAACTTGATGTTTGTATAACGCCAGTTTTTCTTAAAGTTAATCGTTTCCGAATTAAATTGGTGGACTATAGAAGTTGATACACCCTGTATATTCACACACCTCTTGAGCTATAATATTCACATAGCGCGCGGTAGCCGAGTGGTTAAGGCGTCAGACTCTCGGCTAGTAGATCCCGTGGTCGTGGGTTCGATCCCCACCGTCGCCTCTGGACTTTAATGACGCCTTTAGGGGACCGGTGGCCGCAATTAAAAGAAATTGAACGGCACTCATCAATGGAAGGGGCAGGATCGGATCTCAGCGACCCTGAATTTGGTCCCAACCCCCTTCAAAAATGAGTTTCTTCGATGGAAGAACACCAGTAAACGGGGGCTCAAGTTCACATTTGTGTTGCGAGCCCTCCCCCAAAATATGGAGCCAGGGATGAAGTACAATAATCTGTACAGCTCAGCTGCAGTGTGCTCAGGAGGGAACTCCTCCAGTCCCTGCTATCAAAAAAAAAAAAAAAAAAAAAAAAAAAAAAAAAAAAAAAAAAAAAAAAAAAAAAAAAAAAAAAAAAAAAAGATTAAACCAGTGTGCTTGAGAAGTCAAAATGGCACCTTTTCTTTAGCATATTAATTTTTTTCGAAGACAAAACTTCTGTCCAGAGCCCGCCGGAACTTCGGGGGATACAGTTTCGGCAATCTTATTCTAAATGTCTTATTCTCGGAATTCGCAAATGAATTAAGTTCTGATTTGTAAAATATATTAAAAGAAGCTGAAGTGGAATAAGGAAGGGATTGAGCTTAACAAACGAGAAACTCGCGCACAAGAGGGACTTATCGCATTTTTAAATAATTAGACAGAAATAAATGATTTTAAGTAAATACGTCGCAACAGCAGAGGTTATATCGACCATCGGGGTGCCGGAAAAAAGCCCATTTGTAAGTATGTCGGGTTCGAATGCAGGGCCGCTGGATTCGAACCCGGGACCTTTATCTTACAGAGATGAGCCCCGTGTCAACGCCTAAACCGTTGCGGCCACCGACGCCCCTCATATTCCAGTTATACATAAATCTGAGGACTAATGGTTTGGGGACAAAATAATAATTTCCCTCAACTTTTTCTATTTTTCAATAGAACTTACTTACAACGACTGAAAGGATGGCAGTACATACATGACAGGAATTTAAGTCTTCTAAGAAACCTTTAATAAATATGTGTTATGACCGACTGTATTTAAAGAAATTTATATATGTAGACGTAATTCAAGTGTAGTTAATTTCTAATTGATGATAAATTCTGGTCGTAACACGATCCCGATAAAATTTTGTTTATGCTTTACAATATTATAATGTAATCTTATTCCATAATATGCATGTTGGTACCTCAACACACTGGGCTGTTCAAGACTTGGTATTTGTAGCCTATGTTCTGTAGACGGTTTATTTAGGCTAATTTCTGCTGTGATATCTGTTTGTTCGAGCCAACATTGACTTTTTAAAATACTTACGTTAACAAATTTTTGGCGGTAATTCAAGTTGGTACGGTATGTATATTAATACTTTTATAAGGCGAAATGCAAAACATTTATAATGAAACATTGTAATATTGCTGCAATGAACTTGGTTTTCGCAGGTAAATACCCAAGTTTGTTGTGTTTTGTTGTATAATGTAATAATATATAATTCTAGACGTATTCATTAATAATAATATAACAAAGCATGATAGTAAGTAAATCTTAGTTATTAAAGCTTTATAACCCTAGAAAATACGGAATCACAAGGCTAATCTGACCATCTCTACACTTCATTGTAGCATATGTATTTATATTGTGCAGCAGTATCGTAAATTGTAAGTACCTATGCATAAAAAATTATGAATTTATCTATTTTTTCCGTGTTTTATGAGACAAAACAAATGGATAATTTGCCGATTAACATATTCCATTTTATAACTAAGTGATTAAATGAACGTTAATCATAAATAATTATTATTCCTGACATTAAACTTTAAAGTGTCTCATTATTGTTTATGGTGTTTTTAAGAAATTTCTTTGATAATTACGTTGAAACAAATTCAAAGATAAAAATATAAAAGCATAGAAAAAAACCTATTCTTAAAATAAAATAACACGTATTACTTTTATTTTTATTAGGTTTCGTGGTCCGCTTGACCAAATAAGGTCTTTTAAATAATTAATCTTTTTATTAAAGTTTTGGTTGATATAAAAAGTCAGTGTCACAAGCGGATTCGAACCCTCGACCTTATTATTTATTTTGCAACTTGTATTCTTTTAATGGAAGATTTATAAATTAGGTCGATAATATATATTACAAGTAGAAAGTACGAGGCAAAACTGAATAATGTGTTTTGAGTGTTGACATGAAAGTGACGTGCATTCATTATTCACATTTACATGTTTACAAAAATATACAAAACGGATGAAGGACATTTTCCTTCATTCTTTGTAATACAAGAAGAGATGAGGAGTTTGACAGTTACAAATTGTGAGCTTAAAAGGGAAACGACTGTTTATTTGTAATGACAACCATTGAACAGCGAATTGAGGATTTCGATTTTTAAATCACCACTTTCCATGATGTTTTTCTACAACCGATTTCATGTTGAAGTTGGTGTAGCTGGTGCCATGACCGAGGTGTTTGCCACCTTCTCCGCCTTCTTTGCCTTCGCCGCCACCGCTACCTCCTTGTCCTCCTTCACCACCCTGTCCTCCATGTCCTCCGTGGAGGCTCTGAGGAAGGAAGTGGACGAATTTCACATCGGCACCTTTGTAGTCTCCGTGACCGTCGCCCAAACCGGCGAATCCGTGTGGATGAGAAGAACCTTTCCAGTGCCCGTGGAAATGGTGGTCGACACCGAATTTGTATTCCCCTTGGTGTTCTCTTGCTGGAAAGTTATAATTAATATAATATAATTAAACCATTAAATAAGAATTCACATAATACACTTAAAAGTCTTATATAATATAATAAGTTAAAGGTAATAATTTTATTAATTATAGCAGCCTATGTTGCTAAATTCTGATTCTTTTTTCATAAAATTATGGTTCATTATAAAAGTTACATTTTCTTGGAATGTTTAAAATTCAATGAGAGGGTGGATGGCGGAATATTGAGTACCTTATCGATCCTCAATTAGATTAGCTGTATAATATGTGTAAAGTTTTTGTTGAAAGTGAATGTATTTATTAGAGTGAATGTGTGAAGTGAGAGGGTCGATGGCGGAATATCGAGTACCCCATCTACATTAGGTTATTTGTATAATATATTTAAAGGGTAATGGAGGAATATAGAGTACACTCCATCACCCTAATTGAATGACTGGGCAATACACCTAGATGACAAAACCCCATCCCCCGGAGCCCAACCTTGGTGGTTGGACGGATAAGGCTGAGGTCTGCACCCGGTCTCCCAACACCCTGGGTTGGTGATTGTCGAGTATGACGTCAATTTAATGTAAATAGCAAAACTGGAGTTGCCCGTGGACTGCGAGCAGTGAACTAGACACATGTTTGTATGTATATTCGTAATGATTATGCGAATTGCAGAGAAAATATATGTTTCATCTTCATTACTTCCAACGCTAAGAGAACACTCATTCTTCGTATATTTATATTTTACATTACTTTCAGAAAATTTATTTGCTTTGAACTATGAGAAAAAATCGTATTAACGTGAATACCATTTACTAATTACATAGCATAACAATCACCTTAAATTGGAAACGTACCAGAAAGAGAAATAAAACGAAAATAAAAATACCTCAAATTCTTATTAACTCACATATATCACTATCACATTGAACGTATTTTACGTATGTATAAATGCTTACAAAGTATTTTATCATTGAATTCTAAGAAATAAACGTGCCCAGCTTTTACGAATGTACTCGTCTTGTGATAACGTTCGTCTCAGCTAAATGGATGCTTTCATGTAAATCTCTTCAGGCAGACATGACGAAATATTGTAAACAAGATTACCCGCTTTTCTAAGCCTCTTTCTAAAGATATAATACAAATAGAAAATACGAATAAACTTATTTCTCTTGTTCATTTTATTACAAAATAATTTCTAAATAATGGTAAATTAAATAAATAATATTAATTAACAACAAAATTGTGGAAAGAAAAAAAAAATTTATATATAACAGTAACATAAAGAGAAAGTTGATAGAGAATATAGGAGTGTGTGTTTGTGAAGTGAGAGAGAGAGAGAGAGAGAGAGAGAGAGAGAGAGAGAGAGAGAGAGAGANACATATATATATATATATATATATTTATCTCTGTTTAATCTAACTATATTCTATCGATCTATTGATGAGTCGATTCGATTTGTTTATCTAATATCTATCGTGTATATGTATGTCTTTCTGTGTAACGGTTTATCTATCAACTATCTACGTACCAATCAGTCTACTTATCAACTTATCTATGTCATTACGCGATTTGATAACAAAAAGAACTAACGCACCATTCAATTTATTTACTTTTAAAATTAAATCCATCGTTTTCTACGTTACATTCAGGTATTTAGGATCTATCGTAGTCACAGTAAGATAATTCAACATAAATAGAATACCACTAGAGTGCCATCACAGTATTATCATAATAAACATTTTAAGCATTTGATAGTTTGTTTTTATTGTTTTTTTGATATTGTATATCTATCTTTGGCAGAGATGGTTACTTGCTATTCTCAATAACTAATGGATGAATGAAAGAATAAATGTGGTTTTATTTATAGTCTGTAAGAGTGTTCTCGTAATTAGTTTTATTTATTTTTCTTAAGGTCAACTTGTCTTAAGTTGAACATTTGAAGCATTTATTTTTATCGGGTTTTCAAAGAGAACTGTATTGAAAAACAACAACTATGGAACTCTCTAAATATACCCCGTAACTGTTCAACTATAATTTTTATTTATATACGATACATATTTTAATAAAATTAAACTATGCACTTACAAACATGGGTCTCGCTTTCTCCGTGTCCGTAGACCACTGCGATGCAGCAAAGAGTGACAAAGATAATCTAAAAAGGGCGAAAAATTATATATAGATTAATTATTCAGAAATCGTGATTTAAAATTAACTTATATCTTTATTATCTAGCGATATAAAATAAATAATTTTATAAATATACTGTTCTTCAAATTTAATACAGCTTATAAATCTTTAAACATTTAATAGCTTTTAGAATTGTATGAGCATGTGATAACGATGTTAACTCACTTTTCCCATTTTGGTTATCCTCCGGTGCGTGCAGGATTGTTGTTTCGGTTCGGGTCGGCCTGGTTTTTATAGACACAACTCCCTACTCGATTCTTACTACCCAAGGAAATGTTTGGAAATAAAGAATAATTAAAGATATTGTATAATTGGGTTGGAAAACTTTAAAATATTTCGTCCTCAAGGAGAATTCGGCCGTTAGGACATGCCGGTCATGACTGACTTGAGAAAAATGAAATTGTGGCCAGTGGCCTCTAAGAGTGACATCGACATCACTGTTTGATGTAAATTGTGTTACTACGGTCGTCCAATTTCATTTTACGGTATTATAAATATGTTCAACAAACCGCTGTTAGTCGTAAATAAAATAGAACAGAAATTTTTATTAACAAATATATACATTACATACACCGGTTTAGTGAAGTTTCTGTCTAGCGACGCTTACTTCCATCTGGTTAAGTTATAACAAAATTATTATTAATTATAAGAAATTATTTTCTATTTAGCGAAAACCCCACATAAATGAATAAATAATGATTTGAAATGGGGTTGAAGGCTCCGTTTAGAGCGTTGTCTCGTCACTTGAGCTATCCGGTTTCGAATCTTAGCGACACTGAATCCACATCAACAAATACAGAATCTCAGCAATTGGATATCTAAACAGTCATTCCACAAAGGATTTAAACTTTAAAATTATTAGGCTTTATGGTTTAGAAATATATTTGACTAATAGCTAGAGCTACATTATAAAAAGAAAGAAAAACAAAGTTTTATTATCTAGCGGTATAAAATTAATTATTTTATAAACATACTGATCTTCAAATTAAAATTCTTAGTACAGGTTGATTTTTAGTTTGCATGAATCTCACCCGACAGATGATGAAACGTAATAATAGTAATAATATTGTGATTATATATATAATAAAACATTATTTACAAAATGCTACTGATACAATAGCGTGAGAATTTTGTTCACGAAGTTTTATTCGTATCAAAAAAAGAGAGAGAGAGAGAGAGAGAGAGAGAGAGAGAGAGAGAGAGAGAGAGTGAAAGAGAGAGGGAGGGAGAGAGAGAGAAAACAAACAAAAAATAGTTACAGCTTAAAGACTTTCATTGATGCATGATTGCAAAGGTTGAATTGATATTATAATTTTTGGTTTTCTTTCTTTCTTTAAAGGCAGAGAAATAAAAGTCGAAATAATAATTAAAATGTATACAAAACTATATATCGTTACGAACCAAAAATAATACAAATACCAAAAAAATAAAAAAAATAAAGGAAAAACAAGGAAAAGAGTTAGAAATAACAACTGTTGAGAACAAGTAAGAATATTTGCTGTACTAGAAAATATCTATAATACTTATAGATTCTAGATACTTATAGAGTATTCGGTAATAGTTAAGCAGAGAAATGAGCTGGGATTGAGTAAGCACTGAAATACCCAAGCACTGTACATTATACATGGCAAGAACAGGAAATAAAGCCAAATAATGGATTACGTCCTGTCTCGTATCCAGGTTACTCGGGAAGATCTGGTAATTTTTCGTTTCATCTGGAGGTGTATATAAGGTCTAGAATTTCACTTGTCAATTGAAACATTCATCTTGACAACCAACAACTGTTACAGAAAACGAACCAGGTGCAATATTAAGTTTATTACAAAGCAACAACCTGAACGACGATTTGGCTCTAGACTCGGCCTCGACCCTATGAATCTCGCCTATCTTTTCATTAATGTGTACAGTTGTTTCATCCAAAGATGCGAGTCTGAAAAGTCAGAGTTCAATTCGCACAAATACCTTACGATAAACTGATCCCAGTGTCTGACCCCATGTTCTATTGACTTCTCCATTTGCAAGTTTCCTTCTAAGTCAGAATATTTGAAAAATGAGAACTTTAAGACAACAAATAAAATTTTATTTTAATGTTAAAATCTCCAACGGGTTGCCATCCGTATCTAATACAAAATAAAATTAAAAGCAATCGAGTAAATTGAGTAAAAGCAAGAAACTTCATTACGAAAAAACGTTATTCATTTTCTAGATTCTCTAATCTTTGATCTACGCAAATTTGTACAGAGTAGCAGGGAAACAGTTTAGTTTAATTAAGTTAAAAATCTGAAATTTTTTGAAACAATTTTAACGTGAGACAGATAACAGCGGTGGGGGTAAAGACAACTAAATATGTATACTTAATAACGATAAATTGAATGTATACTTAATTAACGTAAATAAATTCTCAAACATTTACTATTTGTAGATGTACTATTATATGATTGAATAATTATTAAAAATACTTTACTTATATTACTTATAATATCACCAACTGTAATCACTTATCAATGTGTATTGTGAGGTAACAACTTATTAAATTCTACGTTTTAACAAAAATAATTATATATTAATAGAAGTTCGAAATAGTTACTTTTGACGATTTGAATTGATTAATTTATTGTTTAGGGCGTTCAAATCTCATATATAATTTGCCGCAAAACATTTTTCCGTTTAATTTCTATTTCCTACGACAATCATTTCATAATTATTAACGTGCATTATTGTATTTATTGTTTTTACCTTTCAATTTTAATGAGATTCAGCTTGCCCCACGCATTCTTCGTCCTATTGCTACAAAAGTGTTACACTATTTCCGAAATTTTTAAGTATAGAGGGGGCAGTTTAATAATATAAATAGATTACAAACTCTGAAACGAACAACATTCTTCTGCAGTCAGTCAAGATGGAAAAGGTGAGTTGAAATATTTAATATGGTTTTTGATAATTTATAACTCCAACTACTTTTAGATTGTTTTCGTCACTTTATGCGTGGTGGCTATCGTTTCTGGCCACGGGGAGAGTGAAACAAAAGTTTGTAAGTACTTTAAAATCAAACTTTACGTTTGAAAAGAAGTGAAAATATAACTTAAATTTCTAGCGAGGGAACACCAAGGTGAATACAAATTCGGTGTCGACCATCATTTCCATGGACACTGGAAAGGTTCTTCTCATCCTCACGGATTCGCCGGTTTGGGCGACGGTCACGGAGACTACAAAGGTGCCGATGTGAAATTCGTCCACTTCCTTCCTCAGAGCCTCCACGGAGGACATGGAGGACAGGGTGGTGAAGGAGGACAAGGAGGTAGCGGTGGCGGCGAAGGCAGAGAAGGCGGAGAAGGTGGCAAACACTTCGGTCATGGCACCAGCTACAACAACTTTAACATGAAATCGGTTGTTGAAAAGCATCACGGAAAATGGTGATTTTGCACTGAACACTCGCTGTTGAATGATTTTGAATTCAAATAAAACGTCATTTTCCTATAAATACATAATTTCTTTTTATTCGCCGCCCTAAAATAAATTTTAATTCCTTCCGCTAGTTTCGTGGTCCGCTTGACCAATTAATATATTACAATTAATTAAGGTTTTTAGCTGAGATAAAAAAGTCAATGGCATGAGCGGGATTCGAACTCACGATAGTCGGCTGGATACGCCGCTGCTCTACCACTTGAGCTATCGTGACCTCGATCCACTCGGACACCAACTTCCCATCTCAACCCCACCTTTTGAATTTTCCCTCCTTTTTTGTCATTTTTCAAATGCCGTGGAATCTATTTGATTCTCGGCGACAAATGAAATGGCCCCGGAGAGCTTTAGTGGAGGTATACTTCATTTTAATCTTATTAAATTCACTAGTTTCGTGGTCCGCTTGACCAAGTAATATCTTGCAATTAATTAAGGTTGACCACCAACCCTTCAAAAGGTGGGGTTGAGATGGGAAGTTGGTGTCCGAGTGGATCGAGGTCACGATAGCTCAAGTGGTAGAGCAGCGGCGTATCTAGCCGATGATCGTGGGTTCGAATCCCGCTCGTGCCATTGACTTTTTTATCTCAACTAAAAACCTTAATTAATTGTAATAAATTTTAAGGTTACAACACCCACATATAAAATACTAGTCCAACAAGAATCTCTTTCCCTTACCTGTTTACATTTCTGTAAGAAGAAACACTCATCATTTTCTTACAATGGAAATTTTTCATTATGAAAACGATCCCAAAGTCTCACAAACTTACCCACCTACTTCAATCCTATCCCCTCTTTTAAACTTCTTAATCAGCTCTTTCTAAAACAATCTTTGCCAACATATATGAAAAAAAGCTTATCCCATCATACCAGTTTGGCTTCCGTAACCACCACTCCCCAGCAATGTCACCGTTTGTAGACTCAATCTCATCCTCTCTTTTTCTAAAATTAGTACTGCTCGGGTTCTTTCATTGATGTTGCTCAAGCGTTTGATTGGGTCTAACATCCGGGTTTGCTATAGAAGCTGAAGAGTATCCTACCAATTATAACATAACCCAATAGGTACCTAGTTTTACCACCTTGCCAAAATGTTTTATGCATTACCATGTCTTAGCAGTACAACAATTTTAAATAATAAAAATACATCTACTACCGCCCACAGTAGGTATGAAAAATGGCCCGTGTAAGTCATTTTCTTTAATGTAGGTAATTATTTTTAAAAGAACTTACAACTTACAAAATATATTGTCAACAATAAAAATCGCAGAAATATGGTTGATCAATGATACATTGTATATTAAAACTACGGTTTGAACCCACTCTTCCAATTTTTTCCATATATATTTTCTTTTGTTTTAATTGAAAAATGAGGGAGTATTAATCATTACTTACAATGTAAACAACTGCCTTACCATCAGGGTTTTCCTCTTCTACAGGCTTCATTTAATTCTGTTTTAGAGAAATATTTAGTAAAATACAATGTGAAAACAGGCTCAATTAGGGAGATTAATTACTTATTAATTAATTAATAATTTAATAATTAATAAAATTAATAATTAATTAATTAAATTACTTATTTAATTAGAAGGATCGCGCAAAAGGAATAACTATTATACATTTTGAGTAAAATGGTGGGTTATTATTGAAAATCAGATGAACATATATGGCGTCAGGTTATTAATAAAAAAGAATAAGTTGACGAAAGAAAATAAATTTTTTCAACAAGTAGTTTTCGACTAGTTTCGTTTTGTCGTAATCATATCTAATTTTAGGTAATTTTTATTATTATTTCTTAGGGATAGCCTGGCGCGTTTGGGTGTGCGTAATATGAAAAAAAACTTCATAAATGTAACATCTTTTCAGTTTTAATAGCATAAATTAATCATGTAAAGTAAATTAGAGCTGTAGATGTCCAACTACGCTGTGTCGCGGATTAAGGGTCAAACCCAATTACAATACTTTCACAATTTGATTATTAATAAAAATTCATGGGCTAAGCCAGGAATCGAACTCAGTGTAGCTGACGCGGTGCGTACGAGTCGGACGACTAACCCAGCACCATTTAAATAACATAAATTATAAATTATTCAACTTTATCAATGATAGATCTCAATTAACTATTTCTAATAACTATTCCGTTTAAGAAAAAATAATAAACTATAAACGAAATGTTTATTGAATTTGTAAACCGCGACCAAAGGGTTTGCCACCTACCATGTCTTATTTATTTTTTCGCTGGTGCCTCTTATTTATTTATCTTTTTAATTAGGTTCTATTCAGATTTTAGATCCATTTATGATAAGAATCTCTTTAACTTGAAGATTAAAAAAAGTCCCGTTCACTCTGGTTTCTAGAAGAAAGTCAGGATGCCTAGCTACATCAGATATATTTTACCTATAAAATTTTTTAATGATTCTGTGTTTCGAACGACAACATTGTCACATGCACGATGTAAACATTGAACGATTCTTCAAAGTCCTGTTGAGCCAATAAATTTTTAATTTTTTTTTCTATTGTTAAAAGGTGCATAAATAAACAAAAGCATATGCATTTACTTTTGAAGGAATTGGTGTACTTAATGAGTTGAAAAGTGTAAAGATAAATGAGTTTTTTATTGATAGTCAAACTTTGTATAAAATCACCATTTTCCGTGATGTTCTTCAACAACAGATTTCATATTGAAGTTTACGTAGCTAGTACCATGATGATGTTTGCCGCCTTCGCCACCTTTTTTAGCTTCGCCACCTTCTTTGCCTTCGCTACCACCGCTACCTCCTTGTACTTCTTCTGCCTTTTCTTCTTGGCCTTTTTTACCTTCTTGTCCTCCATGTCCTCCGAAGAGGCTCTGAGGAAGGAAGTGGACGAATTTCACATCGGCACCTTTGTAGTCTCCGTGGCCGTCGCCCAAACCGGCGAATCCGTGAGGATGAGAAGAACCTTTCCAGTGTCCGTGGAAGTGATGGTCAATACCGAATTTGTATTCTCCTTGGTGTTCCCTTGCTGGAAATTTGAGTAATATTTACAATTTTGCTCTTTTTAAACTAAAAGTTCAAAAACGGAGTATACACTTACAAACTTTTGTTTCGCTCTCTCCGTGACCATAAACGATAGTCACAACGCACAAAGTGATAAAAAGAATCTACAAGTAAATTGTTATTCCAAGTAAATTTATATAACATTGTTCAATGTTTTATCTCACCTTTTCCATTTCGATTGACTGCAGAAATGTGAATGCTGATTATTCCATGGCTCGCACTTTATATATGCTATTAAACTTTCCGCACCACTTATTAATTTCAGCAATATATCTTTGAGGTAAGAAACTAATCAAGTCATATAGCAACTCGAGCATAATTCAATTATTAATTATTTTTAGATGTTAGATATTGCAGACGTTGGTTTGTCATCAAAATAAATTAATTTTTTAACAATAACATAAAACCACGGATATTTTTTTAAATATTTTATTCTACATGCTTCATACAAAATGTTACATTGGTAATACAATAACCATAAATATTATATATATATATATATCATATTAAGTCGAAAAGGCAATTAAAGTTAAAATAGCGAAGCTTTGAACCCACTCTTCCAATTTTTTAGAAAACATGGTTGTTTGAGCGGGATTCGAACTCACGATAGTCGGCTTGATACGCCGCTGCTCTACCACTTGAGCTATCGCTACTTGAGATGGGAAGTTGGTGTCCGAGTGGATCGAGGTCACGATAGCTCAAGTGGTAGAGCAGCGGCGTATCTAGCCGATGATCGTGGGTTCGAATCCCGCTNCAACAAGTAGTTTTCGACTAGTTTCGTTTTGTCGTAATCATATCTAAATTCAGGTAAATTTTTTTATTTTTTCTCAGGGATAGCCTGGCGCGTTTGGGTGTGCGTAATATGAAATGAGCAGATTTTATGAAACACTTCATGAATGTAACATCTTTTCAGTTTTAATAGCATACATTCATCACAATGATTCTTTTTTTCTCGAACGAAAATTATGAAACTAAATGCAAAATTCAACAGTTAATGAAAACTGTTAAATAATAATGAATAACGTCAATACAATTAATAATATATAAATATAAAATTAATTAAAAACTAAATGAGCCAATTTTATAAATTTAACTCAATCACATTAAAATCTATTGTTTTGATGAGTATGTCAAAATGTGCGTAATATTCTTTCTTCATGAAATCCTTCTCATCAAATGGCCACTACTTGCCATGCAGTAGGCACTTCTGTACAACCACTACGCAGTTGTTCTATTAGTAGCACTCATATATTATATGTTTTATGCTTTGTTCTACTGGGAAATTTGACGTGCAGTAGCTTGATGAGGTTTCCTTTAGATGAAAGCGGAAAAAATAGCTGTTATTTGGGCCGTCTTCAGTTAAGATGTGGGTCAGTGGTGCGGATAGTTGGATGTGCGTCTGGAATATATCGGCAACTTCGGGAAAGTACTTTTTTATCTGCCTTCTATTATTTGTACTTGATCAAATATTTTCCCATTCTTCTAGACTCTCTTCGAAAAGCTTATTTATAATTGGTGAGTTTTGATGTTTGGTGTATGCCATATTTAAACTTTCGTCAGTAGATGCTAATTTGGCCAGTCTGTCAGCTTCTTCTATTCCAATGAGCTTTAACCCAGCCTAGTAATATATTATCATTCTGTTTCACTAGAGTTTGAATAGTTTACCTTCTTTGCTCAGGCAAAAAAACCTTGATTATCATAAATAATAATTGTTTCTAAAGACACTTGACTGTCACTTAAAATGATAAATTTGGCAATATTCTCTTCTGGTTTTTTATTCATAAACAATTGTACGCTCTTTGGAATGGCCAAAAGTTCTGCTTGATAATTAGAACAAAAACAACGTGATTATTAGTAAACAAGGGATATTACAATTAACTGATATAACTAACAACATTAGGTAATTTAATTCTGTTATTATTTTAAATAACCATTATAATTCGTAATAGAGGTTAATATGATTCCGCAATGTGTAGTTAGAACAGCGCATATGCGCATGAATCGCAATTATTAGAATCACAAAAGTAAAATTCATCACAATGATAATTTTTTCTCGAACGAAAATTATGAAACTAAATGCAAAATTCAACGGTTAAATCCATGAAGACGTAGTAAGAGATATTTGATGCCAAAAAATACCAAAAAAACTATAATTTTAAGTTAAATATTTATGGTCGATCCTTACAGAAGATAGAATGACGATACATAATAATTCTTTGAATGTTAAGAAAAACCAACGTTTCATCGATTCGGAGTCTTCCTCCAAAATTGTTCGAACAAATACACGTTTTGATATGTGATTGATCGTGTTGTAATTGTGGGTACGGCTTTTACGCACTGAAAATATGTATTTACTTTTTCTGTTTATCGTTATATTTCTTGAAAAAAAGGTTTTACTTTTCAAATTTAATGAGATTCATGTTACTTAACGCTCTCATACAATTATTTCCTCAAAAGTGTTACAGTAAGGCAGAGATTCTTTCTTTGGTGGGGGAAGTTTAATAATATAAATTGATTACAAGCCGTGGAAGAATCAACATTCTCCTTTCTGCAGTCAATCGAGATGGAAAAGGTGAGATACAATTATTTTTTAGTATTATTTATGTAATTTAAAGAAACAATTACTTGTAGATTCTTATGGTTACTTTGGCCTTGGTGGCTATTGTTTATGGCCATGGAGAGAGCGAAATAAAAGTTTGTAAGTAATCCATTTTCAAACTTTTAATTTTTAAAGAGCATGTATTTCAATATTACTCAAATTTCCAGCGAGGGAACATCAAGGGGAATATAAATTCGGCATCGACCATCATTTCCACGGGCACTGGAAAGGTGACTCTCATCCACACGGTTTCGCCGGTTTGGGCGACGGCCACGGAGACTACAAAGGTGCCGATGTGAAATTCGTTCACTTCCTTCCTCAGAGCCTCTACGGAGGACATGGAGGAAAAGAAGGCAAAGAGGGCAAAGAAGGCGGAGAAGAAAAGGAAAAAGAAGTACAAGGAGGTAGCGGTGGCAGCGAAGGCAAAGAAGGCGGCGAAGAAAAAGACAAACACTTCGGTCATGGCACGAGCTACATCAACTTCAACATGAAATCGATTGTTGAAAAACATCACGGTAAGTGGTGATTTAAAAACTACAATCTTAAATTCACTGTCTAATGGTAGTAAATGCAAAACAGTCGTTTACCTTTAAAGTCCATATTGGCATTTGTAACTATTAAACTTCTCATATCTTGTGCAAGAACTTACACGTCATTCAACTTTTTTGTCCTTTCTTTGTAACCTAGTAAACATGAATAATCAATACATCTTTCTGGTATAAAGTAAGAACAAAACACTGAATATTTCTGATTGGTAGCATACTTTCTAGTTGTAATATATATTACAAACCTGATTTATTAATCTTTTATTTACAATAACACAATACAAGTTCAGAAATTAATAATATTAGATTTATTTTATTCTAAGTATATGTTTTTTGGTCTGCTTTTTTATTTTTATCGTTAAATTCGTCTCAACCAAGACAGTCGTAATTATCCAATAAATATCCTAATAGCAACCTCAACAACTACTAAAACACTGAACTTTAAAACTCCTGAACTATAATTATTGAAGATTGACTTTCTTTTCATGAATTCGTTTTCAATTCGCTTTTGGACAAGAAGGCAAAGAAGTCGAAGAAGTCAAAGAAGAAAAAGAAGAAAAGGTAAAAGAAGTACAAGGAGGTAGCGGTGGCAGTGAAGGCGGCGAAAAAAAAGAAGGCGGCGAAGAAAAAGAAGGCGGCAAACACTTTGGTCACGGTACCAGCCACATTAACTTCAACATGAAGTCAATTGTTGAAGAACATCACGGAAAATGGTGATTTTTTTAGAATATTGTAAATAACAATAAATAACTTATTTATCTTTATATTAATTGAATTTATTAAATCCACTAGTTCCTAAAAAAACGTAAACGATAATACGCCTTTTTACTTATGCACATTTTGACATTTCAAAAACAGGAATTTTCTTTATAGATAAATCAACATAATTGATGGTTCATTGTATTTAAAAAATAATGTGATATCGTACATTATCTAATTTCTCAAGGTTCCAAAGTGGCTTTGTTTTCTAAATTGCGGCTTGATTTCTTGAAAATCTTTTAGCTATGCCAGAGTTCCGTTTCGTCAACTTTCCCATCATCAATTGACCAAATTAACTAGTAATCAACCATCCCCCAAACTACTAATTCAAAAATTTAAATAAATTTAAGACCGATCAATAAAAGAAGGTGGCGAACCAGCTACACCAATTTCAACATAAAATCCATACTTGAACAACACCACGCAATATGGTAATTATTGAACCAGATCCTCACAACTTTATTGGGAACAAGAAACATTCAACATTTACACGTACAAATGTATCACTAGCTTGCATTTTTATTACAACCATCGTTTTTTAATGATTGATCTGTAAAACAATTGTAAAAGTTAAAATTCTGTAAGGACGAGACATTTGACACGAAAAACCAGCGAGGAGGACTCCCCCACTGGCGAGTATCCCATAGAAGAAATAAATAATGACTACACTTTTTCAATTTTATATCCCTTTGGTTTTATCAAGAAAAAAAGTCGGGATTTTGTCTTTGAAGAAAAATCTATTTTCCATTTTAGTTTCAGGCGACGGGGAGGATTATCGGTATGGCATTGGAACTGAACTGAACGGCCAAAAAAAAAGAATGTGTGAAAAGAGGTTGAATATTTTGTAAAAAGTTTTTACTCGTTCTAGAATAAAACGGATATTAAAGTTCTGGTATAGGTTCAGGTTTGATTCATAAAAAGGAAGGTTTATAATTTTTCCTTGGACTTTTCGTTGGAATCATTATATGAGATGGGATTTGGAAGTTTGGTTTAGCCCCAGAATCCACTTTGGTCTGACAACCATGGTGTATGTCAGTATTTTGGAGTTAAGTGGAAGTTTGGATTATCTCCGTTCTTAGATTAACCTTTGTTTTCCTTTTAAAAATCCTTCTAAAAACTGGCAATAAACGACTGATTTTTTAATTTTATTTTAAAGGGTTTCTTCTTATTTTGGATCGTAGCCTGGTCTTCGTTACGTTGTGCTAATATTGTTTTTCGTGGGGAACTTTTATAACTTATTAGGTCCGAGTCGTCCGCAGCCTTTTGCTAAAACCTCTGCAAATTCATGCAAACAGTTCTAACATGTGCCTTGGTTCATTCTAACCTTACTTTCAGTGCTTATTCAGTTATAGTTACTTTCTTCCAACAGTGAAAATCAACGTACAGTAAAGTTAGACTATCTATTTTTATTATTACCCATAGTATATTACTACTGTTCATTGATTGCCATAATTTTTGACTCAATGATCCTGATATGATATTATGTCAAAAATGAATTGTACCATTACATCCGTTCACGGAAGAACCCGCTTAGAGTAGCTTTCAGGTCTATCATATTCTTCTCTACCATCATCCATGTTTATGTATTGTCCTTGTGCAGTTTTATAAGTATTGGATGTAAATTGGCTACAATTTGTGAGTCTCAAAAAATAGTACTTTTTATCGTCATCGATTAAACCGTATAAAATTACCAAGAGTGTTCATAGGAAAAGCCTTAAATCCATGATAATTATCAACTTTTACATAAAAAAACTTTTTTTTTATTGAAAACGGTTTGAAGTACAATATGTGTATCTAAGCTAATTATTAAGATGTCCACACTTGATAAGTAGAAACTATTCAGGTATGTAATGTATATTTAATAATACATCATTAAGGAAAATATTAAAGAAAAATATTCAGGTTATTCAGTTACTGACCTACTTTGATTATACAGTGGTTTGGGTTATATTGGATATATGGTCCTTCAATGATTAATACACTGTATAATATAGTTACCAGTTTTCGACCTAATATCTCGCCCTCCTCAATGCACTACAACAATATAATAAAATGTAACAATTTTCTACACAAATTCAACTCATTTTATAAAGTAGAGATAATATTGACATTCAACACGTACTACATTCTCAACAAAAATAATAATGTAATTAACAAGTCAAAGATTTTATTTCAATTCACCTCTATATACGTTTTAATCAAGAAATGTCAGATTATAATAATACTGTTTATATTTAAAGTGACTACCAAAATCAATATTTTTGGACTGGATTTGCAGGATGCATTTCTTTCTCTTCGCTATGCGGTGTTCCACTTACAACTTCATAACTCCTTTCCATTTTATCGAAAATCGACATTATTACAACCTCTCAACAAGACCCGCAAGAATGGCACAATTACACGGAAGACAAACACTTTGAGCACTGAAGATGATCTCAATAAAGATCGAAACGTTGGTACTATAAAGAAAATGTTTTTCTGAAACCTACATCACACCACACCGCATCTCACGATTTCTGAATAATTATTACAACCGTTGGAAACTTTTTTTCTTTCAGTCTCTGTAAATAAATTAGAACCATCGACATAAAATAAAACTTTGATAAGATTTCGTCATTATTTTTCTCACTTACAATGACATAAAATCTATAATTGTTGAGATAGGCTTGAATAATAGAAAGTCAGATTTATACAGTTTGTGCGGGTTTAGGTTACTTAAAACGAATACGAAATGTGTTTTAGAAAAACAAATTTACACATTTATATATACATTTTTCCCTACTGTATGGAAGCGTTCGTTTATTAACTTTTAGTACATCTCATGTCATTTTATAGTATCCATTATTTTAATGAAACAACATAAAATCACTTGCTAATACGTAAAAAATTGTCAAAGATTTATATTTTGATTATTTATTTTTGTGTACTGACAAAGTAATGGTTTATTAATTATACTATCCATATACACTGCATTCGAAACTATTAAAAAGCGTTTAATTTTGGTGTTACCTACAAATAAAAATTATTATCACATGATTTAATCAGTTTGATCAAAATCCTGTCCGAAATGATTTGTGATGATAAACTTGATTTCTCGTATTAGAATTAATTATAATTAATGTAATTTTAGATGTTGTATGAATCGGTACAGCATGGATTGTTCTGTTATCGCTACGATTATTTTCACCTATGTAGATGAGCTTAATATATTAAGGCACATAATGCTTTATCATGTAGAAAGGGGCGCAATATATTACATTTCACAATATTTTACATTACCCGGAAAAGACGAAAATATATTTAGTCTTAAAAAAATTACTAGAAGAAGGTCAATTATTTTAATTGTACAAATTGCTCAAGAGAATTTTTTTTAACGATCTACATATTTCTTTAATAAAATTTCCTCACTTAATATTGTTAAGATTTTCACATCAAAAATCACTAAATGGTTGGAAAATTCGAACTAATTTTACGACGATAGAAAATGTGTGTTTTGCGCATGCTGCTTTGACCTTATCTTTCTCTATGAGAGATAAAACCCACAATCGGAAAACGACAATAATTGTGGCCAAGCGCAATGAAGAGAAACGCGAAGGATATGCTGACGAACTTGAATGTGAAAAATACCTTGTGGTAAAACGTTTTGTTTTGCAACTTCCAACAAATTGGGAACATTTCATTGACAATGAAATCCCTGAACAACCCATTAAGTTAAGCAACTTATTTAATTGTTTGTGGTAAATATTAGTGTACCATTTTTTCAAAACATTAAAACTATTACGTAACCCGTAACTATTACAACGTTTGTAAATTTAATTTCTAATTGATTTTTTTAATCAAGGATGATCTTTCATTACATTTGGATTTAACTGATGTAATCAGTTCACCAAAGTCAATTTCATAACATTATGAAAAGACTTTTCATAATAAAAGAAAAGTATGTAACTACTTAATTAATACGTTGTCAGGTAATGTATAGCGTGGGAATTCATTTTTGTAATAGAAACATGTTAACACATTACATCTGAAATTTGTTTACATAACAAATTAATCTTTAGCAGTAATAAAATAAAGACGGAGTAAAATAGGGGGCTATTAGCTCAGAAAAATAAAACATTTGTTACAAAAGAACATAAAAATGTTCAAAACCGAATAAATCACTCACACACTGAATTTAATTTTAATTCACTAGTTTTCGTGGTCCGCTTGACCAAAGAAATTCTTTTCAATTAATTAAGGTTTTTAGTTGAGATAAAAAAAAGTCAGTGACATTTCGCGACATTTTGAAAAACGGCAAAAAGGAGGGAAAATTCAAAAAGTGGGGTTGAGATGGGAAGTTAGTATCCGAGTGGATGGAGGTCACGATAGCTCGAGTGGTAGAGCAGCGTCGAATCTAGCCGAAGATCGTGGGTTCGAATCCCGCTCGTGACACTGACTTTTTTATCTCAACTAAAAACCTTAATTAATTTAATTTAAATTCATCGAATTCATCGTGATATTGGGCGGGTGCGTTTTGAAAAAGCAGTTTAAAATATTTTTAATTTTTATAAAATAATGAAAATTTATGGGAAATATTTTCCAACACAATCTATACATCTTTTCCAACGTGCAATAAGCGCTTTTATTCCGCTAATATAAAAATCTTTATTTCGACTCACAGCCGTCTTGGAAAGCGTTTTCGGATATACCGCGTTCTCTGAAAATTTTATTCCTCATGAATTGATCAAAATGCCTAAATAAGTGTCTATATGTGAGGGTGAAAATGGAGTGCGCTGGAAGGATTCATATCCTCTTAAATGATTGCTATGCTCTGATAGGTGGAGGAGCGGTAATAATTTTCAGCTCAAAGTTACTTGCTACTTCTCTGGCCGTTTCCCTTACATTTTATTTGGCTGTTTCATTAATTTTGCAAACAAAAAACATCGCTTGTTTAACGTGTTTCACTTAGCAATTAATATATTATAATTGACGGTTAAATAATCAGTGAAATAGATTCATAATTGATGAGAACAGTCGAAAATGTTTGTTAAAAGAACTAAGTTTTATTTTTATTTCCACGGTTGGTTCAAACTTTTAATAGTTTCCTAACAACAAAACTGTTCATTTAACGATAAGTTCTTTGAAATTATCTGGAATATTTGAATATAAATCTACTTCTTTCAAGGCAAAAACTCTTAGCTAGTGAGAACCATTATTGCAATTTGTAGTTAATATTTATCTACACTCAGTAATTGTCATACTGGAAAAAATTAATTATTATTTATTCTTACTTTATTAAAAGAGAGAGAGAGCGAGAGAGTGAGAGAGAGATAGAGAGAGAGAGAGAGAGCGAACGAGAGAGAGAGCGAACGAGAGAGANGTGAGAGAGTGTCTGTTACCTGTCTGTTATTTTTGTACAGGTAATAAACGTACAGTTTTACTTTAGTTTAACAGTTTACTTCATGTTCAACAAAGTTTCTTACTACTCGATCAAATAAAATCTGTTTGCTTAAAAATACAACTATTTATTTTTATTTCAGTACAAAAATAAGTATATTAACATATGACAAGACATTCCTTCTGTTAAGCGTAGTCATCACCATCCACCGTGGCCATGACCGTTTCCACTGAACGAGTGAAGGTTGTAGTTGGAGTAGCTGGAAGCACCATGTCCTAATCCACCGAGTCCACCGTGTCCACCATAACCTCCAAGTCCGCCATAACCTCCTTGTCCACCATAACCTCCTAGTCCGTCATAACCTCCTTGCTCGCCGAAACCTCCGGTGCCAACGAGTACTCCGTGGCCTCCATAGCCTCCGAAACCACCGACTCCTGCTCCGCTAAATCCTCCGTGTCCAGCGTACCCTCCGAATCCGCCGCTACCTCTTAAACCTCCATGACCACCGAATCCACCGTGACCGCCCAGTCCGCCCTGGCCGAGAGCTCCTAGCACATGGCCTCCTCCAAGTCCATAACTTCCGTGGCCGTCTCCCAATCCGCCGTAACCGTGAGGATGAGCCGCACCTGACCATTGACCATGATAGGAATGGTCGATTCCGTATTTATAGTCTCCCTGATGAGGTTTTGCTGCAATACATAAAAATATCCTAAGTTGAAAAAAATATGAATTTAAGCACCCCTCTTCTTGGTTTTAAAATTAAACATTGTTTAATAGGTGTCAGTGGACGTCTAATATTTTACTGTTCAGTATAAATAATCTGAGGATCTATATTTCATGAACTATATCTGCATTTCTTGAACATTCTTAGTGAAAATTTTAAAATTCTTCTATTTTATCGAAGAATATCATGGAACGCAAAGCTAATACATACCATACTAAACATACTAAAGCAAATACATACCAACAGAAGTGTGGCTTGTGCCATGGGATGCGGCCAAGCCGACCAAGCAGGAAGCAAGGATAACAATCTGAAAAAACATTAAAAAATGATATCAAGTTAAAAATTTATTTTATTACTGGCTTATAAGTTAGAAATGAGATTTTTGATGGTCTTAATTATGCATTGCGAGCAAAAGTTCAAAAATATATTTAAAACCAAAATACTTTTGTGCAAGATGGGCGAACACTTATTTTCATGAGTTTGGAGGATATAGAAAAGTGGGAGATATATAAGACGAAATAATGAGAGTGACAGACAGACTGACTGAGAAAAGAAAATATGTGGAGAATTAAAGAATGCGAGTACCAAGATAGAATGAAAAATGAGTACAAAAGAGGGAAAATTATTAAATCTTGTTTCATTAAAAACAACAACAAATTAGAGAGAGAGAGAGAGAGAGAGAGAGAGAGAGAGAGAGAGAGAGAGAGAGAAGATAAAAGAGAGAGAGAGAGAAGATAAAAGAGAGAGAGAGAGAGAGAGAGAAAGAAAGAAAAAGAGTAATTGAGAGAGGGTGAAAGAGATTAGGTTGTTATTGTTTGTTTTTAAATTTTAGAAGCGTTTCACTTTACGGTAATATTTGAAGTCTAAGTTACAAGTTATTTCTAGTATTCATGACAGTTTATAATGGATAAATAAGCCAATATCTGGGAACATTAAACACTGCAAAACAATTAGAATTACAAAAAATTACAGAAAAACGTAGGGAAAATAAATAAATAAAATAATAAAAACTAATAATTTTACGATTTCTTGAATGTGTTATTTTTACTTCAAACATTGATTAAAATTTTGTGTACCAGATGGTATTCTTATAATATTCCTTATGGTGTGCTATAGGGCCAAGTGTTGACTATTTCTCATTTAAAATCAACAAAGGTTCTATGAGCGTTCCTAAGAGGTAAAAATAAGGTATACTTTTATGTTGGGTTTTAAGGGGTGGATTTCCTTCGAACCAGACAGATCGGTTATTCAAGCGAAAACAGGAACCTGACTTACCTTTGAAGCCATGTCGCTGAGTGTCTGAAAACTCCTTCACTCCTTCGAGTATATATAGAACGGGCACCAAGGGCGACTCCCCTTTCCCTTTTCGATACCTTCCCGCTCGCCTTTCTGTCATCGAATATCATAAGGCATTTATAACGATTGCTGACAGACGGATTGATTTTTTATATTTTACATCTTCCAGTTTTGATACAAAAACGTTCAAAAATGACAGACTGATTCCCCATTGTTACAGAAAATTGTGTTACATCATGTTTGGTATTTCTAGACAAAACTGTTCAGCATCTTACAATTGTTGGTATAAAAACGTGGATATTGATTAGATAAATTTTTTATGTTGATAAATTTTTTGTTTTTCCCTCATAAAATCTTCATACCAAGAAAATGTTCACCGGATTTTTCGTGGAATGGGTTTATTTGAATAAAAGATTCGTTGTTAACCCATCTTTTATGAATTTCTGACATTTTACTCAGTTTAAGTGTGATAACCTATTTCAAGGTAGAGAAAAATGTCGTTTATGTTAGTTCTTGATTTTTTTTTAATGAATATTTATTGTTCATCATTACATAAATGATTTTCGATTGCTATGTATCGCTTATTTTTTCAATGTGGCTTATTATTACCGCTCCTCTTACGAGAAGAACAATGTGTGCGAATCTCCCCAGCAGAGGGAAACACACCCTTTGCAATTTTTAATGGCTAAATTAATTAAAACGCATTAATACAATAAATAATACATTTATAAAAACAGATAATATTAAAATATAAAACTCAAATATATAGAAGACAAAACATCGCACATCGCACGAAACAAAAATTATTCAAATTTATTACGTTGTTACTTATTATAAACACAATACAGAGATTAGAAAATTTATTTTTTATTTTTCAATACGCAAAAATGAGGATCATTTATTAGAGAAAAAAATATATCTTAAATTATATAAAAACTGAATAAAATAATTATAGTTGATGTTAATGCCTGTTCCTCGTTAATAACCATGTCGATATTGCAATTATCAGGTTATGTGTTTTGCGATTTGTCAAACACGTCAGGAATCTCATCGTCGTTAGTTATAATTTCATTTGTGTTCCACAGTTGTCAGAGTCCTCACTAGTCTTCCATCCAAGTCCTCGCATTGCCAAAATAATTGTTTGAACTGAACTTTTAATATTTCATCCGTATTGGAAATTAACGGTACTAAGTTATTGCGGTTCATCACCATGGCATTAACAAAAATCGAAAAACCCAAACTCCAGGAAAGCTATAAAACGATATATATATATATGATTTCGTGCTAAGGTAAAGTAGTGGGAATGATGGTAAATCGATGGCTTGTGTGGTTCGTGGAATCACGGAAATTATTAAACATCTCTCAAGCTGAATTGCGTAGGGTCGATAAATCTGGTCTTCTTGATAGTGTGGTGCAAAACACCTCCCTAATAATTATATTTTATTATCATCACGAGAAGGCCTAAGACATTAGGGGTATTCACGATGTTTATAAGACGTTAACTCGTGTTAACTCGAATAGAGAAATGTCCAGTTAGATCGTGAACGCCCCCTTACTTTCTTAGCATGTTAAGCGTTAATTTTTCCGCATTGCTGCGCGTGGCGATTGGTAGAACCAAAAATAAAGCTATAACAGTCTTTGAAGGCTTGTTGTTGTTTGTTTTGGATTTCTTTTGCGCTAAATTGTAAGATGCCAGAAGTTAATAAAAAAGGAAAATTAATGAACTCTTTCATTCAAAATGCTTCCTATGCACCTTTTGGCTAGTTAAAATTGGTCCATCTAACAGGCCAGAGCCAATGTTAGGTGTTAGTCTTTAATAAAGTTTTGGTTGAGATAAAAAAAAGTCATTGTCACAAGCGGGATTCGAACCCACGACCTTCGGCTAAACCACTTGAGCTATCGTGATTTCGATCCTGTCGGGCATTAACTTCCCATCTCAACCCCACCTTTTGAAATTTCCCTCTTTTTTGCAATTTTCCATGCATTCATGCATTAATGCAGTTTGTTAAAAATGATTTTAGAGTCCCTCGAATACGAACGGGTTAGTGGATGCGGAAGGATGATGTGCCACTCATAACCTCTCCCATACCCGCGACCATGGGGTGGCCTTCTTGTGGCGCCTCTTCGGAGATCGAGGTAAAAAGAGGATCGCAACCTGTTCATTCAGTGAAGTCACAGCAAATACAGATGGGGCAGTAGGACTTCTGGGGTTGAGCGAACGCAAACAGGTTTTACTCAGAGATGTGTGTTGTGCAAGCACATCTCCACAACTATTTCCCTGTGCACTTTATCGCCGTAAGCACTCTCCGCGTGCACATGGAAGGTCAGACGAAGGAAACATATAGGATGCGAGGTAGCGAAGACTATCCCTACAGAGTACCTCGAATGCGTGAAGGGAGTTGTTGGATTTTGAGTTAGCCGCGGACGGTCGGTGCCGGATCTGTGGGACAGACGGTACCAGATCTTGTCTGCAAAGAGTGTGCCAAGCCAATTGAACTACTGGGTAGCACACCAGTATTCCCAGTTCCAAACCCAGTAGCGCGCTAGGTGAGAATGGTCGTAGGTAAGACCCCAGACTAGTACTTAGAGAACGGCCTATAGTTCGCTGTTGCCTTCATAGCCTTCTTTCCCGTAAGCATCCTTTCTCTAGGGGGTGGTTAGACATTCCACTATAAACACAACCGCGGCCTTAAATTCATTGAGGTAGAGGTGTCGTCTCGATCTAGATAGCATAGCAAGATTAATCAGCTGATACATTTCAAAAGTGAACAATACCTATGCGGCATATGATCGTGGGCATAGATGTTGACGGGGCAAGCGGGAGAAGTCACTAAGTCTGTGTGATGCAGTGGCTTCTACACTAAATCTCAAGGATGAACACTAACCACTTGTGAGCGGAGTTGTTTCGCTCCTATCTTGGCAATCTAAACGTGTGATAACGCCGTGTGCTAGGTGCGCACTTTAAAGAACTTCATTTGCCTTCTGATGACATTGAGACCTCAATGGGAATCATATATATGCTGAGAACCAGCTAGAGGCCTTTAGGTATAAGGCTAAAATAAACATTAGCTGTGAGGCGAGCAAAATGGATAATGTCTACAGTGTGCTGTGAAGAAAATGACAAACAGGGAAAGAATTATCTTAACAAGGCTTAGGATAAGGATTTGTATACCAAAAATATGTAAGGTAGACAATAAGACATTTAAAAAAGTAAAAGCTTAATAGCTCAAAAAAATTGTATAAAGAAGAAAAATCAGAAAATACAAAACCAAATAAAATGTTAATCAAATTTTCTCTTATATAGTTTATATTTGAAATTACACCCATCTGAAGATTTGAGACATGAAGATTTCACCTCACCTGTAAACAGAACTCGTTTACAATCTTTCAACGTCCAATTCATATGTTTCAGGGCGATTGCCATTGAAGCCATTTTCTGTGGTTTTATAAGAACAGATTCACAAGCCGTCTGCCTTGTCGGGAGGTCACTTTCATTGTGCCTTTTTCTTACAGTTCAGGAGGAAATTGAAACATTTCGGACTTGTCCTTATCTCAATTCCCCTACTGCTGCTGTTTCCTATAGCCTGCTGACGGATGAATACCTCATCGGTAGACCTAGGTCGACCCTGTTTTTACCTTCCAGTGTGAACCCCTGTACTCTGGAGCACTGAAGAAACCTTCTTATTGTACCGTGATTTACACACAGTCTTCTGGCGATTTCACGCTGGCTGTACCGTTTCTCTAATAATGTTATGAGCCTGACACTGTCATATCCATCCAAATGCCTGACTGGAGCCATTGAAAAAGGTTGAATTATCAGAATAATATCAAATGAAATCAAAGAAGGAAAAATATTAAATGAAAGCGATCTTTAGAAGTAGCAGAATGGAAGATATTACTTTCTGTACAAATGGGATTAATTAGTACAAATGTAAACAATGGAAGTAAACAAAGCATTATTCACTGTTTATTTAGACTACGATACCTCCTAATTACTTGTAACTAACACTAATTAATGAATTTAATTTTAAGACAAATAAATTGAGTGTTTACGTTAAATTTGTCCATCAGTGTGTATAGATAGTTGTAATTTGGTGGCGTTATCCTCCCTATGTTGGTTTGACTGTAGAAACATTTCGTAATTTTGCCACCGTGTTAATAAAAAAAAATATAATAATTGCTTTATTAAAGCAAAATTAAAACTTTTTGCTATATTAAAGAACAAAAGCATTATGGATATAGATCGTCCGATCCGTCTGCCAGAGATAATTGGTTGACAAATATATATGCAGTTTAGAGAAGAGAGCGAGAAGAAAACAAAAAAGAGGAAAAAAATATGTACAAAAAATAAAATACAAATACAAAAATACAAAGTATACCTAAAATATGCAAAATACAAAAAATAAAAAGTAAAAATAAACGAGCTATAATACTAGCTAACTAGTATTAAAAATTGAAGTCTATAGCCAAAATTTTAATGGCTTAATAACAACAAAAGAATGAAACTTAAAAATTACATCCTTGAATCAATTCATATCTGTAGCTCCAAGCATGTTTAGCAATACCGAATCAAGCTCCGACAATTTGAGCTAGTCAAGAACTGCAATAGCTCACTTCTTGGGAGAGTTAAACAACCAAGGTGTAAGAACCGAATCTCAACTTAAGTGTTGGTAGTGGGCTATTTTTGAGTCAGGCTTCTTTTATAAGTCATGAGTGATATGTCGGAGAGGCGTATGTCGGTGGTATGTTAGATTGTAGGTGTGTTTAATGAATTATGTTTTTTTTATTATTCAAATTTTTTTTGTCATTGATAAAACTTTCTATTTATTCCTTTTTTACTATAAGGATTTTGAATTATGTACGTTGACTGTCGTTAATTTGTGTATTTCTTAATTTTTAGTGTTGGATATATGTTTGTACAATTAGGTATACTCATTTTTTTTCTTTTTGTATGTCGGGTCGTATATTTATGGTGGTTGTCTGTATGTGAAAGCTTCGTGA